AGCAACTTCTAGGTATCCTCAAGAACCGCTTTATCTAAGTGTGTTGAGGAGTTAAAATCCTCCTCAGGTCGTATAACGACCACTTCGGCAATGTTTCCTGACTATAAGGCAATGCCAAACTCGGCAAAGGACAACTCGTCCAGATCTAACAGAGCACTTACTGCGGGTATTACTGAAAGAGCCACCGGCTCTTGAACATCCCCAGTCAAACCATTGACGAGTGTATATAGATGCTCGCTACCACCGTCACTCACGATATTGTCATCGCTACTCATGATGCTCTCAGCATCCGACGCCTCAGCGTCCACAAGTGTACACACTCAAGGTCAAAGACCACTTCATTAACTGACTGCACCCCACCCTCTTGGGTCAATGCCTCGTCATGAGGTGTTCTGCACCTCGTTATCCTCAACAGACAACCGTCCATTGATGACTTCACCCGACCCTCTTGGGGCAGTACCTCGTCGTTCTCAAAGACAACATCATTAATGACTTTCACCAGACCCTCTAGGTTCAGTACCTCATCTTTAGGTGCATGCACTTCGTTGTCCTCAAAGACAACATCCATTGATGACTTTACCCGATCCTCCAGGGTCAGTTCCTCGTCACTCATGTCACTCGAACTCGTGTCCTGACATCTAGGCTTGCAGCCACCAACACCACTCATGGTGTTTAATGATGTAACAACATTCTCATGACACAAGTCATATTTCTGTCATGTATTGGGTTCTCAACGAAAATACTGACTTTTCTTGGGCCTTGCCCAGGACTATTGTCGTCGACACTCACTGTGTCTACAAGAAGGATAACCCGACGTCCAACGTATTTTTTTGACCGACTCGGTCCAATATACGCGCTAAAAGCCCCTTTTCTTCCTGTCAGAGTTGGGTTCATGACTCTCCAGAGCCCCACTAGGAGCATGTGCGTTGCGCCTAAGGTCTTCGTCCTCCAATCAACTCATGTCTCATGACGTTCTAGCCATGCCATGCCTAGGATGAGGTCATACCTCGCATCCATGTCTAAGGCCAAACAACGTTCCATGCTGTTAAAGTACAAGAACTTTACACTTAAGTCCATCGGGACTTTGGGTACCGTAAAACGCGTACACGTCGCTACACGAACTGTGACTGTGTCACTCTCACACGTTATAAGCGCCTATGCATATTGCTGACTCCCTTCCACAATGGCACGGCGGGCATAATTGCCCGATGCCCCCGAATCGATCAAAATGATCCAAGGCTTATCATAGCCCTTAACCGTCCCTTCGACGACTAGCAAGCCTGGCTTGCATTCTTGTTCCGGTTTGAGAGTTTGGGTCTCTTTGGGGCCGGTCCCTGCTTACTTCTACCTCCTGGAGGTTCAATAGAACTCAGTTCTTCCCCAGTAGGGCACCCCATGCATACCGGGTCCCGCCTTATCGCCGCGGCAAGGGCGCGGCTTTCGGCTATTCGAGGCCAAATACCTTTGTTGCAGGACATTTTACCATCAAAGTTCGGTGCTTTTGCAGATATAGCATCTGCGCACAATTTACTGCCCAGCAGCTTGAATCTTAACTTCTTTTTTCGCTCGACTACAGCCCATGGGAACAGACCCGTCAGACGAGTTGTTATAAGTGGCAGGCCTAGAGGCCTTAAAGTTGATCTCGACATTTCATTACACTCCAATAGCTTCTTCGAATGAGGACGAGTTTACCCGGAAGACTTCAGTTCTACTAACGCCAACTCGGAGGCCTTCCATAAAGACCGTGACGGTCACTGCATCAGACAGAGGGTCAATGACCATGACGGCAACGAAACTTCTCGAATCTTGCACATATGCCGCAAGCTCACGCTTTTCTTGGCGACACGCCTAAACCGCGACCGACTTCGGTGTGCTTGGTTGGCGGTGCATAATGCTGGTTCATCTGAGCTTTCAGATCGGCCCATGTAGGAAAAGCATCTTGCAGTGATGCACCACATGTGAATGCCCACTGTTTGGCTAAACCACCTGACTTGCCCGTGGCAAAGCCCACGATACGGTTTATAGATGATTCGGCTATAAACACAGCCGACTCAACCTGACGGAACCAAAGCATAAGGTTATCACCTTCTTTGCCGTCGAGCTTATCGACTTCCATATGAAAAGATTTTGGTCTGCAGACCACTTCTCGCCATGGGCGAAGGCGCAGAAGAAGGCATCTGTGCCTTGACATGATCGACTAGAGCGTTGTTATACTCTTCAAGCATATGAATACGCTTGTTCACCTCTTCTTCGCCTTGTACGATGAGGTATATCACGTCATTAGGGCCAAGGAAAGGAAGCAGCTTGCAACCCTTCCTGTTGTGCCTGTGACAGGCCAGCCGCTGACATCTCATCGATGTCCATTATTACACAGTGAAGCAGTCACAAACCCAGGTGAGGGATTGACTACAAGTGCTAGCAAGTAGCCGAGCTTCTTATCCACTACGTGCAGAGAAAGACTAGCTACAAAAGCTGTATGGCTTTAAGTTCTTAACCCTCCCAAGACTAGCTCAGCAATCTTGTACCTTTTTGGTTGTAAACAACTACGTTTCCAAGAGACTAGTAACAAAGATACAATTTCTTTCACAAGGACTAAAGCTCTAGCACGTGTGCTATTCAGAGCAGTTGAAACTGATTTATATTTATGTATATCTTCTAGCACTAAATATAGAAGCACCTACACTATACCTAGTGCTAGTCACTGTTTATCTAACTCTGTAGCCTACTAATCTGTAAACATGCATAGTCACTATACTTAAAACAAGTACAGTGACCACGTGGCTCTCTGCCACGATATGACCCTTCGTACCTTAGGTACGGTCAGATCAAGCGTACTCTTGTACCCAAGGTACAGCCACACCACAATGGTGTGGCAGATGTGAATGTACAATACACACCTTTGTGTAACCCCGTTAATGTCAGCTTGTACCGTGCAGATGCATTTTCCCATCTTCGACTGGCTATACTGACAAGGTATGCTTGTACATACCAGAGGTGAATTCATTGGAAGCTTTTTTTTGTGCTCGGTGGCTATCCAACTCCACTCGATTCTTGATTAAAGTATTCTTCGACGATCATAGCTTGTACTACGTTCTAGTGACAGCTAGGTGTTCTAAGACTGTCAAAGTAGGCTCCCATGCAGATATCCGTGCAGATGTCCATGTAATGATCTGAACAGAATCAACCTTTCGCCACAGATCCCGCCAGGGGACATTGATCTGATAACGACAGCGACTGACGGAGATATATGACGTGCTCAACACAATTAAAGTCTGATTGATTGAAGTCGACTTGTCGCTAAGTGTGTGGGTTTGTATTCGTTAATGCTGATCGTTACGTCGAGAAAATTGTCACCGTCATCGTCACCGTGGCATGTGAAGCGGCAGCTAACCCTGTGCCATGCACGTTTCAGTCTAAAGGTGTCTTGCAAGTCTGTCACATCGGTCGAGACTGAACCCATGTCCGTATCCTGAAGTCGTACCTTCGCCTACCAACGCCGTTAAGATCACAACACTTTCCCTATACTCTACATTACGTACTCAACGCAAAGAAAATGAAGCTGTGTTGGAGGAAGTTATTTTTGTCATGACACTTACCAAACGAATAGATACATCGCAATGTTGTTGTTTTCGGTATGTATTCGTTAACTTCTCGAGTCATGCATAATCACGATATCGACTGTGTCGCACAACAAACATTGGCAATTGATTTCTCGACGAAGCTGTATTCTGGTCTTGTCGATTGAATACTGCGCACCAGAACTGTCTGACAATTCCTGAGATCTACACGTAAGATTTGAGTGCTTACATGCATCGATGACATTACACAAAGGTCATTTGCAAGAACTGACTAAATTTGTTGAGCGAGACACTACATCAGAAACATGAACAGAGTTACACTTGTACAACTTACAATGACCGCTGTCGCAACGCTCGTCGCACTTGAGCTACTCTCTTCTCTGACGTTCTTTGCGCTATAAAGCCGTCGTTGCTTGTACTTGATGATGAGCCCTTCGGCTGAATGCTGGTGCATCTCTTTTTGTATGGATTAACAACATCCGTATACAGGTGAACTGTCGTCTCCGGAAGAATGCAATCCCCAACACCCATTGCATCCACGAGCTTTATATGTGCTGCGCACGAAGTGCTGGCACAGACCACTGCGAGCTCTTCTTGGGTCACATGCTTAATGGATAACATGGCACTGAATCCCGCATCCGACGTGCAACCTGCCACGTATGGGCTATCAGCCATAGTTAGTATGTCCGTCTTGGTACACTCCTTAGCCGCGTTTGCACAGCCAAAGAACGTCAAAACAAGTACAACGGTGGCCAGCAACGGCATCGTCGTCAGAAACCGAGCTGAGAAATCTGAAAGTGGTTAGTTTGTGGTCACTAGCTAAATTAAAACTGTGCTCGACTTTTCAGCACGTTCGAAGACTCGTCTCCTAAGACTCGCACATACTGCTACGACCAGTACGCAAGCAGATAATGAGAAGAATGGAAGTTGTTAGGTTACATTAGAGGGAGAGACACACACCTAGCTTCAGCTTGATTAATATTCCTTAAAATCTTGGAGGAAGTGATGCTTTTCGATTTACGACGGAATAGTATGGACCGCTCGCTCGCTATCAATAAGCAGCCCCAGACTGTAAACACATACTTAACGCAAACTGAAGCTGGTGTTTGTGGAAGCTATTTTGTTATGACAGTTACTAAATGAATAGATACATCGTAAACGCAATGTTGTTGTTTTCTATATACATTTGTTAACTCTTTAGAGTCATGCAAATTTCTAGATATCGACTGTTTGCTTAACAAATATTGTAATGAAAATCTTGACAGAGTTGTATTTTGGTCATGTATCATTGAATACTGCGCATCAGAATCGTCTGACAGTCCTTGAATTTGACACGTAGAGTCGAGTGCTTACATCCATCAGCGACACTACGCGAAGCTCATTTGCAAGAACTGACTGGATTCGTTGACTGAAAAATCTAGACCAGAAACATGAACAGAACTACACTTGCACAACTCACAACGACTGCTGTCGCAGCGTTCGTCGCACTTGAGCTGCTCTCTTCTCTGACGTTCTTTTCGCTGACCGAGCTGTCGTTGCTTGTACTTGATGATGAGTCCTTCGGTCGAATGCCGGCACATCTTTTTCTGTATGGACCAATAACGTCCGTGTACAGGTATATCGTCGTCTCCGGAATTATGCAATCCCCAAGACTCATTCCTTCCACTAGCTTTATGTGTGCTTCGCATGAAGGACTGGAACAGACCACCGCAAGCTGCTCTTCGGAGAGGCGTTTAATGTATAACATGGTACCGAATCCCACATCCGACAAACATTCACGCACGTATGGGCTATCAGCCATGGTTAGCATATCCGTCTTGGCACACTCCTTAGCCACGCTTGCACAGCCAAAAAACGTTAGAACAAGCACGAGGGTAGTCAACAACGGCATCGTCGTAAGGAACCGAGCGGGGAAATTTGGAAGTGGTATGTTTGTGGACACTCGCATGTACAAAATACTAGACATGATGCTTTATTGAAGTTGTGCTTGACTTTCAACACGTTCGAATTTTCGTCTCCTAAGACTCGCACGTGCTGCTACGACTAATACGCAAGCAGGTAATGAGGAGAAATAGAAGTTGAATTTGGGTCGCCTCGGAAAGAGAGATACATACGCAGCTTTCTTCATCTTGATTAATATTCCTTACATACTTGGAAGTACAGATGCACTTCGATTCAAGTCGAGAACAATATGCAACACTCATTATCCAAAATCAGCATGTGACGACATCTTTTAGCTCTCTACTCGTTGTTGCTAGTTACACAGGCAAGTGCTCTACACCCGATCTGCTGACAATCGCAAGTAGTCCACATCCGGAAGTATGCATACTAGACATTAGCTCATAAGAATTGCTACGAGCATCCATAGTTAACCTCGTCGATTATAGCCCGAGGCAAAATACCTAGTTGTTGCTTCATACAGACTGCAATATGCGTCACAATGGTATTCAATACTTCCCAACCGAAACACTTAATGCATCTCGTTATTTTGTTCTGTTCAAGAACTTCTTCAGCTTACGAAAGGTTTTGCAAGTACCGTTTGCGGCTAGGACTGGAGCAGTTATGGGCATGGTGCTTTATTGTGTTTTCTTGATTTCTATATGCAATAGAGGCAATAGAGAGTTAAGTCATATCTGATAATACCCATTCTTTGCAACAAATGGCCAAATACTCTCTAAAAAAGGATGATCTGGCATGTCGCACGACATCATTTCTGTCTAGAAACATATCCAAAAGTGTATGGCGATCAATCAAAACCGAGAAGAGCAAGTCCCAGCCACCACTGACAAGTCCAACGTGGATGTCATGGCGTCGGTCCTTTCCGCCCTGACTGTACGTCATCACGATGATCATCTCGTGGCCCAACGACCCGCCGCCACGCTGAAAGAAGTCCTTGAGAAGATCCGCGCCAACAAAGACCAGATCCGAGAACTGGATTTAGCGGACATGGCAGCCAAGAAGCGCAAGTTGCGTCCATCTGGTGGAGATCTAGTGGGACGCGTCTTTCAGCTGAACCGCACAGTGCTGCGTTTGCTGCTACCAGGCCACGAGATTGGAGATGTAGGCGCCCAGTCCATGGGGAACATGCTCCGAGCGAACAAGACTTTGCAACATCTAGACCTAAGGCGTAATGAAATCACGCCAGCTGGGGCTCGGGCACTTAGTAATGCTTTGTATGGTCATGATACATTGGAGCATTTGGGTCTCTCCAGCAACCAGTTGGGCGACGATGGCGCTAAAGCTGTAGCTCAAGTGCTGCCTTATAACATTTCATTAAAGTGCTTGGGTCTCGCCAATAACAACATTGGCGAAGAAGGAGGTAAAGCTTTGCTGGATGCAGTATTGCAGAACAGGTCGTTGGTCATGGTGCAATTGGTTAAGAATAACATTCCAAAGTATATTCTTGACAAAATTCGTGCAGCGCTGGTCGTGAATAAACTCATGCAGAAGAAGGCTCAAAGGGACGAGGAAAAGGAGCTAAAGCTGGACGAGGAAAGGCTTACGGAAGACGAGAAGGAACAGGCGGTGTCGAGTCTGAATGAGGACATCAGCTCTAGTAGCCGCGACGAGGAAGACGAATCGCTGTGGATTTAGAAGTGATTTTTTTTGGTTAGAATGATGGCTACAGCCCTCGTGTATAGAATAAAGCTAAGAACGAGGCGCGGTGTTTTGTGGCTGTATGCAGAAATATTCGATGTGTGTAGAAGTACTTTTGGTGCCGCAAGCATGACTAGATAGTAGCTGCTAAGTGATCAGCGTTATGATACTCAGCGTTATACTTTCGTCCCTTCGCCTTGGTTTGTTCGGATCTGTGCAAACAGGAATGCAGCTTGTCTGCTAGCGTACGAAGCGGATAGAAAAGGCATATGATCGCAAATAAAGCTTCATCGCAAGTTAAAGCTGTCTGCGGCAAGTCCACTGGACAGAGTTTTTCAACACACAAATGAGATTAGACGGATGTACACTACCGCTACCTCTTTGTTTGTTGTGAAAGCGCAACTGTACGACGTCATTCGTGATAGACAGATGTCCAAAAAAGTTGGTGCAATATCAGTCACAATCTTACAGCAGAAGAATAAAAGAAATAAGAAAGTTAGCAGATAGCCTTCAGCGGTTTTGAGTTCATGGATATCGTAGTAGAAAGAGTGTCTTCAGAACGCAAAGGCGGCTCGGAAATTCTTTTTGTCGCTAGAAGAATGAGCTCAAGACATCTCACTCAATACCGGCACGAGGAAAGTCCAAACAAAGGTGGCCGCTTCTTTCCTAGCCTCTACATTTGAATTGTTATGTGCGGCTATTTATGCGTTGCCTAAGCAATAATTATGGGAAAACGCGTGCTTGGAGTGTCGGATACTAGCACTTGGAGAGAATCAGCTGTACAAATTGTTGCGATGGTTGTCACGGCAACAACGATGATGACAAGAGCATCATGTGGAAAACATGTACGAGGTGCAATTTCCGGTATTTCTCGGTGCTTGGATGAACACTCCTGAAAGGAATATCCAAATGCACATGAATCTACAATCAGAATTGGGTCATATCGAGGGTGCGTGAAACCACAGATAACGTGGGTTAGAAATATGCGCTTACATGTGTAGGAGGAGAACAAGTGTAATGAACTTGTCGGGAAGCGCGAAGTTAAGTATTCCTAGAATTACTTTCTCAAGTTCAGGTCGAGTTTTCGAGTTGTCTGTACCTTAGTCACTCCAAAACTCAACGCAACAGAACAACAACGGGCTAGCTGAAGCTAATACTTCTTGCCGCGAAGATTGGAGTAAACACCAACAAGCCTTTGTTTCATAAGAGGAAGTTGCTGCACTAGGCCTGCGTCAATTGTATCAGTATTCGGTGTCACATTGTGGTGCATTGTTAGTTTTATTGTTCTTAACATATCTTGCTGCAAAGATTCAACGTAAACCTATCATTTTGGTCGTGGCTATGACACTATGCCGCATTGGACTAACCAAACGCTTTTGCAGCTATCGTATCATTGCCAACAATTTGCTTTTTCCCCAGTAAGTTATTATGTCTTCGTCCTTACTCTACAAAACCTTTATGACGTACACTGATTGAATTTTCGATGTACTATCGACTGCTCCAGTGCACCTGGCGGCAAAGTTAATGACATTTGGTGAAACTATGTCGCTTTCATCGCGTTTAATGCAAGAACAAAATGCAGCATAGTACATAGGGAAACAAAGGTATTGTCATTACTTTTAATGTACGAATGCTTATCTAGGTAATCTACGATTCCAATACATATTTAGAAAAGTTTGAGCCCAATTATTGACAATAACCACAAACCAAAAGAGAAGCTGTCCGCCACCTTCCGCAATGCTTTGAAACAATGCTTAAGATGATGTCTAACATACATACACGTCATCACCAATATTCCTGACGGACCTCCACCAGGCACGAGCGTGGGGCGGCTGCATGATCATGGAACGACCATGTACGACGCAGTGTGCAAGTCATTCGACGAGTCGTGCGGCGGTCGAACGCGGAGCGATCCTGGATAAGGTTGTGTCGCCTGCGGTCAGCTAAAATTGAACCCACACCTAAGATCAACCCTGGCCTCATGTTTGCATCACTTACGGCAGAGGTGTTGGGTAAGTCTTCATTTTGGTCGCGATCGAGCACAGCGACCGAATCATGGTATACAATGGTGGACGTGCCGGATGTATCCACTTGCGTGAGTTTTGTAGGACGACGATTAAGCGTCGAAGTGTCAAATTACGTCACCCTCCCCCCGATCTCGTAAAGACCTATCTCATTAAGCGACTCTGTGCTATCGCATATAAGCTGGTAACGTACCTTGCGTTACTCTCTCGCAAATCAGAAAGTGGTAATTGTAGCAGAGCTACTGTAGCTACGCTACTTATGCACTATGTGCAGAGCTCTATGTGCAGAAGAAGTAGTCAAACTACTGTAGCAAAGCTACGTATGCACTATGTGCAGAGAAAGACAAGCTCGAAGAGATTCTACATCTTAGGGTGTTTAACCCTCCTAGGCTAGCTCGTAAGCTTGTGCCTATCGGTTATTACAACCGCTTCTTAAAGAGACTAGTATCAATGATACGATTCCTATACGGAATAGAACGCTTAAGCAGTGATGCTTATAGAGCAGGTTTGAAACTGATTTATATTTATGTGTATCTTCTAACACTAAATATAGAAGCTTCTACTCGATACTTAGTGCTAGTCACTATTTACTGGCTCTTTAGTTTTTTATTATTATGCAAACATGCATAGTCACTATACTTTAAATAAGTATAGTGACCACGTGGCTCTCTGCCACGATGTGACCGACCGTACTTCAGGTACGGTCACATCACCTACTTTGTACCCATGGTACAGCCACACCACATTGGTGTGGCAGGTTTGTGTGCCGTAGTCCACGAATGGTTCTTGAGGGCGGACCATTCGTGGATTACGTCATAGACCGGGCTGCGGCCGCTTTAGTACAACTGGGGTTGTCAACTGTCCTTTCTAACGTTTTTGATATCAAGTGAATGGAGCGGTCGGAATACGCTTTTCAATTTTACGCCGTTTTTCATGCCGCTCGCTACTCAAGCTGCTTCTCTGGCAAATGTTACCCTTATGGCCTCGCTGCAACTGCATGCTAGAGCTTTTCTCAACAAAAACGGTACCCTTTGACAGCCTCTACCGTCCATGCAAGATTCTCAGTGGCGGTCGCCACCCCAAAAGATAAAGGAAGCCCGGCAGGACTTTATTTGCCCACGGCTCCCTGTCGCCTGACGCAGACCGAAACTGGGGCTCACTGAAAATTCGATGGCGACATACATTCGCTCGAGTGGGCCGACGGTCTCAATGTCGTCTACAGCTCAATCAGAGGGAGATTGGCCTCATCATCAATGCATAATCCTACATCCCCGGATCTCCTCGGGCCGCGCTTCGGACGATTTTGAACGGCAGCCTGTTGTCTACCTAATTTGGCTGCTGTGCGCCCATTGTGAACTCGACGTTGGTCAGACCTTTTTCTGCTATCGTTCACCCTCCTGCAATTAAGGCGACAGCGCATCGTTAGAGCATGACCTCATGGACTAGGGCTCTAGACCCTGTGGGCTCATCTTTACGGCCTCACGGATTCTCAAGTTTGGACTGCATACCGAATCGCGACGCCATAACTAAACTTCTTTACGCAGGTCGGCGCCCTATAAAAAGTTTAGCCCATACGGGATCGGATGCGCAGGCAAGAGGAAGTGTACGAGCAGCTCTCTAGATTTGCCCGTTTTCTCAAACTTCTTAAGCATAACCCATCAATCGTTAGGAAGGCGCAAGATGAGCCTTGGTGTTCGCAACGTTTGAAATGTATATGTGCGGCTTCTGCCAAGCCGCCCTTCGTTATACATCCAGTGGTTGGTAGTCTAACGGTACTTTGACGAATCGGAAGCTACCGAATAGACTTGATGGTGTGCGCTTCTCTGCACGGTCGTGACCACGAGTCTCTCAGTTAATCGTGTTAATCGTGTCTTTCGCGGCGAACGGATGACGAACGCCCAGGAAGGCGCTCGCACGCCGTCGCCAGACGCGACCACCGCAAAGCAGACGCTGTCATCAGCGGTGCCACATTACACGGGCACATCGATATCCTCACCTGTGTGTCGAGAAAGTCCACGGATCTCCATCAGGATTGAATGTACTGACACAACGTCGCGCCTTTAGGCACTGGCATTCTTATCTTGGCTACGGTCGTACCGGGAATCATGTACTGAACAGTCAGTAAACACTCTGAATTTCTCTCACCTCATCGCTGAAAGTGTACTTCAAGCACCCGTGCGTCAACGGTGGTGATTGAGCACTAACATGTCCCTGTGCCGCGCTTGTTAAGATTTTGAAGAAACATGTATTGTTATTGCTGAGCTTTCATACTCTAAATAAGAATTCTTCACCTTATCTTTCTTAGGCTCTCCCGCTAGATATCTGTTGGCGGCGCAATTTGGGGCAACGAACACAACACATGTCAAGATACTCTGCCACACATGTGCCATACAGTTGGGCCTCTGCAGAGAATCACCGACCAAACGCTCCGAGATCGTGCTTTTCTAGGCAAAATGTCAATCCCATGTTTAGATGAATACAGTGGATCACTATACGAAGCGCACCAATACATGACGCCAATTTGACCCAGTTGTATTCGCTCATGTCACGAATGCGTGGAAGGCATCCTGACTTAGATTGTCACCAGTTTGAGGATGAAAGACATAAAAAATGTCGAAGACACTTGCTAGTGCAAGATGTCCTGACACATTCCGCGATGCCTTCGAAAAAAAATTTAAAATCTGTTTTTTTTTTCAAACTTACTCGTAAAGTTTAGTTTTGAAAATTTGCTATTACTACGCTGACCTTGCTTGGAGTGGTGGTTTCATTGCATCGATGTGATTCAATATTGCGGGAAAGCGTCCGTTCGGTCAGCAGGATACTATAACGCGAGCCTCGTTGCGTATTCAGACTAAATTAGCAAGCTGTGCAAGAGCAACCGCGGAATGCGATGAATAATTTGAAAGAAAAATGACGAGAAACGGGTGAATTTCGGAAGTTTTGATCGGCATTTAAAAGTAAATGACGTAATGAGTATGTATATTATGTGAACGCTTTACGCGAGCCGTCTTGCTACCGAAGTGGCTCAGCTTCCGCATGCGTCAGCTCATCTCTTCTACTCTACATTTCTCTCTACTCTCGCCAGAGTCCATTAAGCGGCGCGCGCCATAAGCGCCGCGCTGAAAGTTGTCCAGACTACACGATCCTGTGTACATTGGCGAAGGAAATACAGGTCTGGGGCCAGTCGACGGCGGTGTCCAGCGTGGTTTCTTGCCGACTTGTGCTTGGATGTCTATCTTGTCAACTGGGCTTCTTGTTGCTTGCACCGTGAACAAAGAATGACGCAAGCGTACCTGAGCGGAGATGCCGGGACTTCGGGGCTTCCGGCGTGGCGGCGTACATCGTAGCGGCTTGGCTGGCGGCTGGTGGGAGAGCGACAAGAGTGAGGACGTAAAGAAAGAGGAAGACCGTTTAAACAAACGGATGCCGCGAATCACCCGTCGGAGGCCTGAGCTAGCATCAGCTAGCCCAACTCGACCAGGATGACGAAACGAGTGTGCAATTTAATTAAATTTGACATATTTTACACGTTGGAAGAGCTGTAGTGATCGTGGGAGTGTTGGATATTAGATAGGGTCCAATATTCATCAGCATATTAGAGTAACAGATTCTAACGGCAGCCGATGTGCTAATAAAGTTGGAGTGCCTCAACTTTGAGCTACTCGCTTATTGTGTTAATTCGATAGGGCAAGCAAGCGCTGCAAGACGTCCTGCAAATCACCATGATTTGTAACACTTACGGCAAAGTAATGGAAGCGGTGGTCCATGCGCAATGCCTACAGGAATGTTGTGCATCTGCTGTACCCGCTCCTCCTATGGCCATGCATGCTAACTTTGTCATTGGTTCGTACGTATCACACAAGGCATAGGCTGTATTAATAAATCATTACGCTGCGCTTGCCGCTATCAACTAGGTGTTCGCATTTACAAAACTACACTTCAACCGTGAACTTTATCTTTTTCTGCTGGATTTCTTTTGACTACATTTCTATCCATTTCTCCTCTTTATCAAACTTACCTGGCAGCCTTTTCAACTTTCTTACGTTGTAGCACCTAAGATCAAACAAGACTACGTACTGGCATGCCAAGTGAGTGATACTAACTCTCAGATTGCAATTCAATTTATGCATCCATCGCGCTTATCTATCGGACAGGTACTTAATAAAAGCATGTAAGCATCTGTGTTCCGGTTAAGATCCAGTCTAAACTTTCAATTTTACTAACGCAAAATTACGGCACGCTACCAAAGCTATCATCGGACGGCCGCCCTTTACTAATTTCGATGAAATTTACCTGTACACTGAAAACATGCACATGATGTGACGAGTTTTGGGCCAATGACGATTACTATTAATTTGCTACCGTTCAACGGAGTATGTCTGTACAATTTGACCCGAACTTTTGGTGCTCAGTGATTTCGTCACCCGGACTGCTTTTCTCTACATCGAAAATAAAAGTCTTTTCCGTACCCCCTTTCAACGCCTAATCGACTACTCGTTGAATTTGTATGAAAGCAAGTGATGGACGGCTTTTTAAGCCGGAAGATCACGCAAGCTAATTTTTCGATTTATCATAAGGACGTTTGGCCTTTTGGAGAAAGAGAAACGGAAGCGCCTAGGCCTATTAATCTTAACAGCAATTTTTTTCAGTGGTGGCGGTTCGTAAGCCTTGCAATGGAACCGGCCACAAACAGTAAGTGGTCATGCTGATTTGACAATACTACGATGCATGCCGAAAAACGACGCATGGACCGAATGCTAGGTGGAGCGGATTGGGCATTAATTTACATCTACCCTTTTACGTCCACCCAGTGTTTTTTTACGTCACTGCTGAAGACGCAGGGGCTCCTTACGCAACATCAGGGTCATGGCATTATTTGACTTGCCTACATGGGACAAAAGAAGAATAAACGTACTAGTATAAGTAAAACGTAACAACAATGTAAGACACGCCTGCCCCATTCACGATGACACATGCACTTCTCGTATTCAATCAAGACGCAAAACACCCAGTTACCCGAATCAATTTCGAAAGCGACAAAGCCGCAAAATGGAGCGCAAAAGTGTGCCTTGAATACATGTGCGTGGCACAAACCTGAGCATCGAACACGTACCGTGGTACACCAGAAGCCCAAATAGTTGTCTTCGTTTTTTTTGGTGAGACTGGAAACTCATTGGTATGGTATCCCTTTATGTCGCGCCTCACTATATTTCTGACGTAATGTACTGATGACACGATTTTTTGCTAACGATGATAATGTTGACGACGCTATAAGCACAAACTCGCCCAAAAGCGCGTTAAAGCTCTTTTTTTTAATTTTGCTTGAATAGACAAAACTGCATCATCGGAGCTTTGCTACCTTACTAACGAATGATGCTGGCTCGGTCCGAATGTTTCAAAAAAAGATACCCTGTGCCATGCGATGCGTTTAGTTGAGTACCGCACTTAAGCGTGTATAAACGAAAATCCTAGAACGTGATTTTTACGAATTCATTGAAATATGTCAATTTCACTATTGGTGGGTTGTAAGCGCATGATGACTTGAAAGAATTGCCTTGCATGACACTATTAGATGAACAGATACATATCGTACCTGTATCACATCAGCGTTAATTTGAGCAAGTGTCAATCGAAAAAAGCAGATGCATGTACCACAACTATCAAATCGAACACCTGTGGGTCATGTCTTACGCCGGGGCCAGCGACCATTTACTACCCCTGTGTATATAGTTCGTTAACACTGTTTCGCACTGCCTTCCTTATCCCAATTAGTGGTCTGTAAGCTAACATGCCTTATCCGTAATCGTACTTAGTAAAATCTTTCGACCATGAAAACTAAGAAAAACCAAACTCGAAAAACAAGTCCCCACTCTCAGATTCGCTTTCATCATAAGACTAGTCGTACGTAGCAAAATAAAGCATAATGATGACGCTAAATGAACGTCCCGCCCGAAAAGCGAAGCGAGCGGATGTAGACTACGCGGTTCTTTCTTCCGGCCAACAAATTCCCGAGTATTCCACCGAAGAGGACGACTCGGATGACGAAAGCTACGGTTTTCAAAAGAAAAAGCGACGTAAACAATCAGTCGAGTGCTTTATCTGCCGCCGACCGTCTAGATCCTACAAAGCCACATTGTTACAATGTGATAGTTGTTCAAGACTGTAGGTTACTTACAAATTTGCTTTTTTAGAACCTTAGTGCTTTTTATTATTACAAAAATGCATATTTTCGCTTTACAGGTATCATGCAGCTTGTGGTAAACCCTTCCAGTCGGCATCAATTTTGGGCAATACAAGCTGCTACGTTTGTCTTCAGGAATCCAAAGTAAACTCTTTGAGTGCTCAACCTCGCAAGACCATGCATTCAATCGCTGACTTTATCAAGGTTCTGAAGAACGCCAAGAAAATAGTCGTCATCACTGGAGCAGGGATCAGTGTATCGTGCGGTATACCCGACTTTCGCTCAAAAAACGGTATTTATGCCATGGCACGTAAAATGGATGCAATGCTACCGGAACCGGAATGTCTTTTCCAAATTGACTACTTTCGCGATGACCCGGCACCTTTTTTCGAAGTAGTGCGCAATGCTTTTGCCAATTCACCCAAGCCGTCACCGACGCATTGGTTTTTAAAGCTGCTGCAGGACAAAAAAAAGTTACTACGCGTGTATACTCAAAATATTGATGGATTGGAGGAAGCGGCCGGAGTGACGAGATGTATTCCTTGCCACGGCAGTTTCGCTTATTCGGCATGCATGCGGTGCAAGAAGCGCGTGCTGACGACCACATTGATGCCTGTAATCCAGGCAGGAATGATTCCGTCGTGCTCCGAGCCAAATTGCCGCGGTGTGCTGAAGCCAGAGATTACTTTTTTTGGTGAGACTCTGGATGACAAAGTGAGTACAACTATAACAAAAGACCGCTTGCAGGCTGATCTGCTTCTTGTCATCGGGACATCACTTAAAGTTGCTCCAGTTATGGAGATTCCAGGATATTTACCCTCACATATACCTCAGGTGGTAATCAACATGACAGCGCTGAGAAAAAGCAAGTTACAATCCAAAAATTGCTTGACAGATGGTAAAATGAGTCGAGCAAGTCGTAAGCAGGTCGACATTGATGCGACAGATGATGAAGAGGAGTTTGATATGTCGCTGCTGGGAGACTGTGATGATATAACCCGATATATTTGCGACCAAGCCGGATGGCATCTCGATCCAAAGGCGGTTGAAGCAGCAAAGAACAAGCCCGTCATGCGTAGTAGGCAGGTCATATCACATCATGATTCTTCTAACAAGAGAGTTTATTGCTTCGGGGAATGCCAGTGCAAAAACAAACTTGCTGTTGGTATGGACGACGACGAAGAAGAGGAAAACAAAGAGGAGGAGGAGGGAGAACTTGAAGACGATACAGTGTGGTACGCTGATGTTGTGCTTTACTTGTTGTGGCTTTTTATCAAGCCTAATTGTTGTTATAATGTCACGTGTTTCTTATACATTTATACAGTAATCGGTGCGAGGAGCGCATTGATACGGATACGGAGCCCAGTTCTAGCAGCAAGAATATTCACTATCGCTGCAAGTAAGTCTTGTGAAGTGCTAATGCTGAACAGGCAAAATCACTCCCCGAAGTTATTTCAACAACAAACTGATTGATCTTGTTCACGTGCTTACAGTGATTGCTTCGACTACGATTTATGCGGAGATTGTTATTCAAAGAGTAGATACAAGCACAAGAACGGAAGACATAGATTTACGCAGTCCCTATAAAGTGCTGTGTGGACGAAACATCTTGTAGATGGAAGCATCAATGGTGGATACACAAGCAACATGTAGGCGGTTGGAAAACTATAGGTGTGCTTGCTGATCCAACACTCTTTTATCGCTTTTCTATCGTGTCACTAAAGATGACTAACCATGGTGGACTTGTGTGTACATGTTCAAATACAGACGCATGCATCATAGTTAATTTATGACGCCAAAGATTAATTACTATGCTTGGCATATATTCACTCAAAAGGTTCATTTTTACGGTTTAATTTGAGTACGGCTACAATTACAAAAATGCCAGCCATTGCTGCATCGCAATGCCAGCTATTCGTTCACATGATCAGTTAACATGTTTTGACTAGTATATAAGATGCTCACACAGCGGAATCTATCGTCATCTAACTGCAAAAACCTTCAAAAGTTGTTTGCGATATAGCAAATGATATATAGCGGAAAAGCTTTCACCGCATATGTTGTACATCGATGGGACGGATTCTAGTGGCAGCTCAATGCGGACTAGCATCGTCGTAATAGAGGCTGACACAAGTCTATCATTACAAAACGAGATGAACCCATTGCTCGATCGATGAACTATTATAAAAGATAAAAGCGCAGGTGAGCCTCCCGGTCTTTTGGCGACGTATTGAGAGTGTACAATGCTTGAATGAGGCATAATCAGCAGCGTAGCGACAAGATTTGACATGATGACTAACATCTGCAAATTACGAGCATAACGAAATGGTGGCGTTTGTCCAGTGTGGCAGTTACGTAGACAGAGGCGAGTCGGAGATAAGATGGAGGTGAGTGGAGCAAGGAGCTGGACCAACCAAGGATTGAACCTGGGGCCTTCCGCTCGCAAAGTGGACGCGCTATCACTGCGCTAATGATCAAAATGACCATAATCATTTACCAAGCATAACCACCAAACAAAAGCTTCACCAGACAGTAGCAGATGACTTACTGCAAAGATGGCGTCAGGCGTGAGACTTGAACTCACGCGGGTCACCCAATACATTTCGACAACCAGTAGACCGCCAATCGGCCAAATTGCCCTTTCAGAGTCACACGCAGATTAGGTTGTGTTTTAACGTGGTTTCCCCGCAATCATGTTCTAGAAAGTGGAATAGCAGAGAAGAAAGCGTCGCAATTAAACAGAGCAAAGGTATTGCCATACCGGGACTCGAACCCGAGTCTGCTGGATGAGAGCTACCTATTGTGACAAATTGTTAGTTTATGCTCGTATGTTACGTACTGAAGGTGGGCAGGTGACTGATAACGAGCAAGTCTTCAAGCTTGCAATACAGTACTTGCACTGATATACCCGTTGTGGCTGTGATGACATTGCAAATAAATGATTAAGACTCAATTTGCACTCTAAATTACTGATGTGACTGTAGAATCACTTTGTTGGAATGATGCGGCAATCACTATGGCCTTGTGCATTGTCGCTGCAGCGTCACCTATTGAAATAGCTAAATCTTTGTTTTAAAAAACTTGTCCAAGAAACTAGGTGTTGTAATGATTGTGATAAATCTGACACTTTGCTGCATCAAGAAACAAAGAAGTGTTAACCAACCTAGTTAAGTACTTGCAAACGCAGCGATCGATGGCGGCTCTTTGACACGTGCTGAATCATCAATTGCATTTGGTATTGCTCGAAGCTATATTTGATGCACGTTGTAATCGCGCGATCGCCGTGTGGCGTCGCTTTTACTCCTACATGCCACACAATTGCATTTAAATCACTACACAACAAAATCAAAGCTCATCTGACAACGGCAAAGTTATAATTTCGAAAGATAGAGTGAGATTTGAACTCACGGTCAATTCACAAACTTTAGTAGTATTCAAGACTGACACCTTAGAACCACTTGGTCACATACCCATTTTTAACGTTTTTTTCGTTTCTTTAATTATAGTGAAGCTACTGTAGCTATGCTACTTATGCACTATGTGCAGATGCACTATGTGCAGAAGAAGTAGTCAAACTACTGTAGCAAAGCTACGTATGCACTATGTGCAGAGAAAGACAAGCTCGAAGAGATTCTACATCTTAGGATGTTTAACCCTCCTAGGCTAGCTCGTAAGCTTGTGCCTATCGGTTATTACAACCGCTTCTTAAAGAGACTAGTATCAATGATACAATTCCTATACGGAATAGAACGCTTAAGCAGTGATGCTTATAGAGCAGGTTTGAAACTGATTTATATTTATGTGTATCTTCTAACACTAAATATAGAAGCTTCTACTCGATACTTAGTGCTAGTCACTATTTACTGGCTCTTTAGCCTGTTATTATTATGCAAATATGCAGAGTCACTATACTTTAAATAAGTATAGTGACCACGTGGCTCTCTGCCACGATGTGACCGACCGTACTTCAGGTACGGTCACATCACCTGCTTTGTACCCATGGTACAGCCACACCACATTGGTGTGGCAGGTGTGTATGTAAAATACACACCTTCGTGTCACTGTTACACCCTCCCTTACCAATCCATGGGACCCGACGTACCCACAAATTTTCGCACTTAATTGGAGGCATCGATTTCGTTTTCTTCCTATTTTGCTTGCCTCGCAATAAGTGCTTGCACTTGCGTCTAAAGCTCCTGTGTTTTCAACACTTGCTCTTTGAGCACTCGTGCATTGCACACACGCTTTATAAGCATCCTTGTGTTACGACACTCGCTCTTTGAGCATATCGTTCATCGCACTCACGCTAAGGCATTAAGTGTTACGACACTAGCTTATAAGCGTTAAGTGCCAAGCACTTGGTATTATTAATACCTTTTGTGTATTCACGAACACTTGCTTTTACAGCACAAGGTGCCTAGCACTTGCTTTAAAGCAATACCGTGTTCACAACACTCGCTTTTAGCACAGTGCTCACAACACTTGCTTTTAAGCAATACAGTGCTCACAACACTTGATTTTAAGCAATACCGTGTTCGCAACACTTGCTTTAAGCAATACAGTGTTTACAACACTTGCTTTAAGCAATACAGTGTTTACAACACTCGGTTTAAGCATTTGACCATATAAGTGTGTAACACTTGCTCACATAGCCCCGTAATGTTATTAATAGCACATAAATGTCGAACACTTAAAATGCACATTAGTGTCGAACACAAGCTACAATGGACTAACACTAGCTTATAAGGCACTAAAATGTTCATGTAACGGAGTTACACGAAGGTGTGTATTTTACATACACATCTGCCACACCAGGTGTGTATGTAAAAGACACACCATGTGGTGTGGCTGTGCCTTGGGTACAAAGCAGGTGATGTGACCGTACCTGAAGTACGGTCGGTCACATCGTGGCAGAGAGCCACGTGGTCACTATACTTATTTAAAGTATAGTGACTCTGCATATTTGCATAATAATAACAGGCTAAAGAGCCAGTAAATAGTGACTAGCACTAAGTATCGAGTAGAAGCTTCTATATTTAGTGTTAGAAGATACACATAAATATAAATCAGTTTCAAACCTGCTCTATAAGCATCACTGCTTAAGCGTTCTATTCCGTATAGGAATTGTATCATTGATACTAGTCTCTTTAAGAAGCGGTTGTAATAACCGATAGGCACAAGCTTACGAGCGAGCCTAGGAGGGTTAAACACCCTAAGACGTAGAAGCTCTCTGAGCTTGTCTTTCTCTGCACATAGTTCACACGTAGCTTTGCTACAGTAGTTTGACTACTTCTTCTGCACATAGTGCATCTGCACATACTGCATAAGTAGCGTTGCTACAGTAGCTCGGCTACACCTGGTAGCACTTGTAACCAGTCCGGCACATGGGTTTGCGACTACTTCTCTGTGTGAGAATGGACATTAATGAGATGTCAGCGGTTGGCTTGTCACAGGCACAACAGGAAGGGTTGCAGAAGCTTCTCCCTATCCTTGGCCCTGAGGGCGTGGAATACCTCATTGCCCAGGGCGAAGAAGAGGTTAACAAGCGTATTCATATGCTTGATGAATATAATAAAGCTCTAGTCGAGCATGTAAAGGCACATATGACTGTTTCTGCGCCTTCTCCCATGGCGACTATGGCGCGAGAAGCGGTCCGCAGACCAAAACCCATACAAATGGAAGTTAATAAGTTTGACGGCAAAGAAGGTGACAACCTTATGCTGTGGTTCCGACAGGTTGGGTCTGCTATGCTTATAGCCGACATCACCTATAAACCGTACCGTGTTGGCTTTGTCACGGGCAAGTTAGGTGGTTTAGCCAAACACTAAGCATTCAAATGCGGTGCATCATTGTAAGATGCTTTTCCCACATGGGCCGATCCGAAAGCTCAGATGACCCGGCAGTATGCACCTCCAAACCAAGCACACCGTAATCGGTCGCGGTTTTTGGCGTGTCGCCAAGAGACAAGCGTGAGCTTGCGGCATATGTACAAGAGTTGAGAGCTCTTATTGCCGCCATGGTCATCTACCCTCTGTATGAAGCAGTGACCTTGAAGGTCTTAATGGAAGGCCTCCGAGTTAGCGTTGGTAAAACGGAAGTCTTCCGGGTAAACCCGTCCTCATTCGAGGAAGCTGTTGGAGTGGCATGGAATGCCGAGACCAACTTTAAGGCCGCTAGCCCTGCCACTTATAACTACTCGTCTGATGGGCCTGTTCCCATGGACTGTAGTCTAGCGGAAGAAGAAGCTAAGCTTCAAGCTGCAGAGCAGCAAATTGTGCGCAAATGCTATATCGGCAAGAGCCCAGAACATTTAATGACAAAATGCCCTGCAAGAGACATAGCTGGATTCGATAGGCCAACAACCCATGGCAAACTCTCTGTTTTGCCGCGGGTAAACGGCAAGAGCCAGTATTAACGGATGTCCCACTCAGGAAGAACTAGTTCTGTTGAACCTCCAGGAGGTAGAAGCAAGCAGGTTCCAGCCCCAAAGAGAATTGAGCTCTCAACGCGGAACAAAAATGCAAGCCAAGCTTGCTGGACGTCGAAGGTACGGTTAAGGGCTTTGATAAGCCATAGA